CACTGAAAGAAAAAAAAAACTGATCAAGAACTCTAAATCCAGCAAAACTATCCTCTAAAAATGAGGAGAAATGGAGACATTCTCAAATAAACAAAAACCGAGAGAATTCAACACTGGTAGATTTGCCACACAAGAAATGCTAAAGGGTGTCCTTCAGGCTGAAATGAAATGACACTAGATAGAGAAGAAATCACAAGGGAAATTAGAAAATATTTAATACAAATACAATACAAAACACAACATTCCAAAATCCAAGAGATGCAGCTAAAGCAGTACTTACTGGGAAACATACAGCCGTAAAATGCCTATATTAAAAAAGAAGTACGAGCTCAAATCTAGCCTAGCCTTCCATCTTAAGCCTAGCCTAGCCTGGCCTTCCACCTTAAGAAACTAGAGCAAACTAAACCCAAAGCAAGCATAAGGAAGGAAATAATAAATATTAGAGCAGATATAAAAGAAATAGAAAATGGAAAAACAATAGAGAAAATTAACAAAACCAAAACTTGGTTCTTTGAGAAGATCGACAAAATTGGCAAACCTTTAGCTAGACTGACCAAGAAAAAAAGAGAGATGATTCAAATTACTAAAATTGGAAATGAAAGAGGAAGATATTACCACAGACCTTACAGAAATAAAAAAGAATTATAAGGAAAAACTATGAGTAATTGCCAACAAATTGAAATTCCTAAATGAAATGAAATTCCTAGAAAGACTACAGAAACTGACTTAAGAAGAAATAGAACATCTGAATAGACCTATAACAAGTAAAGAGATTGAATTAGTAATTTAAAAACTTCCCACAAAGACAAGCCCAGGAGCAGATGGCTTCATTGGTAAATTCTACAAAAATTTTAAAAAAGAATTACAACCAATCCTTCACAAACTCTTCAAAAAAATACAAAAGAAGACAACACTTTCTAATTTATTCTATGAGGCCAGCATTATTCTATGAGGCCTGATACCAAAACCATAATCACCAGAAAACCACAGACCAATATCCCTTATGAATATAAATGCATTTTTCTCCAACAATATCTATTAAACTGAATCCAGCAATATATAAAAAGAATTCTACACCACGACCAATTGGGATTTATCCCAGGAATGCAACGTTGTTTCAACATACAAAGATCAATCAATACAATACACCATATTAATAGAATAAAGGACAAAAACTACATGATCATCTCAATAGATGCAGAAAAATCATTCAGCAAGATCCAGAAGCCTTTCATGATAAAAACACTCAACAACTAGTAGAAGGGAATTTCCTTAACCTGACAGAGGGCATCTATGAAAAACTCACAACTAACATCATACTTAATGGTGAAAGACTGAAAGGCTCTGCTCTCACCACTTCTATTCAACATTGTACTGGAGATTCTAGCCAAGGCAATTAGGAAAGAAAAATAAATAAAAGGCATTCAGATTGGAAAGGAAGAAGCAAAATTATTTGCAGATGACATGACCTCATATATAGAAAATTCTAAAGAATCCACAAATAAACTATCAGCACTAATAAACACATTCAGCAGGGTTGTAGGACGCAAGATAAATATACAAAGATTAATTGTGTCACTATATTGTATTAATTGTTTTACTATATACCAGCAATGAATAATCCATAAATGAAATTGGGGAAACAATTCCATTTATAATAGCATCAAAAAGAATAAAATACCTAGGAATAAATTCAACTAAAGAAGTGCAAGACTTAAACAATAAACTACAAAATTAAAGAAGATTTAAATAAATGAAAAGACATCCCATGTTCACTGATTGGAAAACTTAATATTGTTAAATGGCAATACTCTCCACGCTGATCTATGATTCAGTGCAATCCCTATCAAAAATCCAGGTGCCTTTTGTTTTGCAGGAATTGACAAGTTCATCCTAAAATTCATATGGAAATGCAGGGGACCCAAAATAGCCAAAACAATCTTGAAAAAGAACAACAAAGTTGGAGGACTCACACTTCCAATTTCAAAACTTTCTATACAGATACAGCCGTCAAAACTGTGTGGTACTGGTATAAGGACAGAAATAAAGATAACTGATTTTGAAAAAAGGTGCCAATATGATTCAATGAGGAAAGAATAGTCTTTTCAACACATTGTATTGGGACAACTGGATATCCACATGCAAAAAATAAAGTTGGACTCCTTATTTACACCATACACAAAAATTAACTCAAAATGAATCACAGACCTAAATGGAAGAGCAAAAACTACAAATTGTTAGAAGAAAACATAGTTGTAAATCTTTGTGACCTTGGATTAGGCAATAATTTCTTAAATATGACACCAAAAGCACAAGCAACCAAAGAAAAAAAACGGATTAATTAGACTTTATCAAAATTAAAAACTTTTGTGCTTCAAAAGACACTATCAATAAAGTAAAATGATAACCCACAGAATGAAGAAAATATTTGTAAATCATGTATCTGATAAGTTTCTAGTATTCAGAAAATATAAGGAACTCTTACAACACAACTATAAAAAGAAAACACATGGGCTTGAATAGACACAAAGGCTCTGAATAGATAATTCTCTAAAGACATACAAATGGCCACTGAGCACATGAAAAGATGTTCAACATAATTATTCATTAGAGAAATGCAAATCAAAACTACAGTGAGATACCACTTTACACCCACCATGATGGGTATAATCAAAAAGATGGACAATAACAAGTGTTGGTGAAGATCTGGAGATATTGGAACACTCACACTTTGCTAGTGGGAATGTAGAGTGCTGTAGCCACCATGGAAAATAATTTCTCAAAATGTTAAACATGGACTTACCATATGACCCAGCAATTCCACTCCTAGGTATATACCCAGGAGGAATGAAAACATATGTTCACACAAAAACTTGTACACAGGGGTCGGCCCCGTGGCGTAGGGGTTAAGTGCATGCGCTCTGCTGCTGGGGGACCAGGTTCGATCCCCAGCACGCACCAACGCACCGCTTGTCAGGCCATGCTGTGGCGGCGTCCCATATAGGGTGGAGGAAGATGGGCGCGGATGTTAGCCCAAGGCCAGTTTTCCTCAACAAAAAGAGGAGGATTGGCATAGATGTTAGCTCAGGGCTGATCTTCCTCACAAAAAAATTAAAATAAATTAAAAAAAAAAAAAAACTTCCACAAATGTTCAGAGCAGCATTATCATAATAGCCAAAAAGTGTAAACAACCTAATATCCATCATCTGATGAATGGATAACAAAATGTGGTATATCTATACAATGGACTATTATTCAGCCTAAAAAGGAATGAAGTACTGATTCAGGCTACAACATGGATGAACCTTGAAAACATTATACTAAATGAAAGAAGGCAACATATTATGTGATTCCATTTATTTGAAATGTCCCAAATAGGCAATTCTATAGACACAGAGGGTAAATTAGTGTTTTCCAGGGGCTGGAGGAAGGAGGGAATGGGGAGTGTCTACTAATGGATATGGGGTTTACTTCTGGGGTGGGAGAAATATTCTGAAATTAGATAGTGGGAATGATTACACAAATTTGTGAATATACTAAAACCCACTGAACTGTACATTTTTAAAGGGTGAATTTTATGGTATGTGAATTATATCTCCAAAAAAAAAAAGAAGAAGGGGATCTGCTGCATCCCTGAATCCTAGTCTTCTTTCCTGGAGGCAACTAATTTTACTTATTTCTTGGGTACCATTCCTGAAATAGACTGTACACATACAAACATATATTTGTGTGTCTACAGGTCCTTTGTGAAAAATAGAAATATAAACATAGTAGACACATTGTCCTAGACTTTTTTTTTTCCTGTTTACAATATAACTTGGTGATTATTCCATTTCAGTATATGTAAGTATTCCTCAGTCCGTTTTATTTTGGGATATGCTATAATTTAGTTTGCTAGTCTTTTGCTGCTACAAATAATGTTGCACTTAGTTTCCTTGTATATATTTCCATTTTATGTGTATGAGTGGGATACGTTTCTAGAAGTAAAATTTGTGGTTGAAAATGTGTTTTTCGGGGCCGGCCCGGTGGCGCAAGCGGTTAAGTGCGCGCGCTCCGCTGCGGCGGCCCAGGGTTCGCTGGTTCAGATCCCGGGCGCGCACCGACGCACTGCTTGGCAAGCTGTGCTGTGGCGGCGTCCCATATAAAGTGGAGGAAGATGGGCACAGATGTTAGCCCAGGGCCATCTTCCTCAGCAAAAAAAGAGGAGGATTGGCAGATGTTAGCACAGGGCTGACCTCCTCACAAAAAAAAAAAAAAGAAAATGTGTTTTTCTTATTTTATTTTGATAGACTGCCATTATTGATTTAATGACTCCCTTTCTTACTAGATTATGAGTTCCCTAAGGACAGGGACCATTTCTATTTGGTTGACCAGGGTAATCTAGAGTCTAAGACATTGCCTGACACACTGCTTTATATATCTGTAGATGGAAAAGCCTATGTGCTTTGTTATACAAAGTGTCAAATGGAAATTCAAAGCTATGTCATTCAAAGAAACTGACAACAATCCAGTTTATAGAGATAGGAATTGTTTAGGGGTTGGGCTTTTTGTTTTGTTTTGTTTTTTTTACTTTTCATCCAGTTGTTTTTTATTTTTTCCTTTTCAACTCTAGTATGTTTTCAAAAATTATGACATCAATCCGCAATCATTCTAATAAACATATAATCCTTAACTTCATCTGAAGACATCAGCATGTTTTATTAAATAAGTGACTGTGTCTTATATTTGAGTAGTCTGTATTTCAGTTATTTAAAGAAAAGAAGGGAGGTTAAGGGTTGACTTGCAACTTTAAGAGACCTAATAGTGACACCTGCTGGAGAAAATGTCAGAATAGGTCTCGAATCCATTAAATCTTTAAAATTTTAGATCAGTTTGTTCTCTTCATCAGGAAGAAATTTGTTATTTTACCATAAGAGTGCTTGTAGTAAGTAAACATAATTACATTTACTGGAGGTTGTTTGATGTTCTACAAAATTAACGAATAAAAAATTTTTTTTCAGGATAAAGTCATTTTGGGAACCGATTACCCGTTTCCACTAGGTGAGCTGGAACCTGGGAAATTGATAGAGTCCATAGAAGAATTTGATGCAGAAACAAAGGTATATGCCTTTTTCTTCATGGTTTTCTTCCTGAGTTTTCCTGCTCTAATTGTTTGGTTTCAGAGCGCTTTGATCCATGAGAACAAAGAACAGGGGAAGCATTACACTTAATATTCCTAGAACTGTTACTCTAGAAATAGCAGAATTATTAAGGGCAAAGGAAAGTAAAAAAGCTGAAAGTCAACCTATTACAACTACATTCGTAAAGCCTAGAAAGAAAACTGTAAAGAAACATATCATAATAATATATTTATGTTTACATCTTAAATGAATAAGAAAAATGTCTAAGTTCTTCCTTTAATATTTCTGTTACAAATCTACCGATCTCAAAAGTTGTAATGATTTTAGTTATTTGAACAATGAGACTAAAGTCTTGATTAACAAGGACTCAAGAAACCAGAACCCTCAATAACTAGATATTTTTCTTTTGGCATTTGATTTTTAGGGTGGGTAAATGTGCCATAATGGCTGCCACTGCTTACTCTACCCCTAGGCTCCTGAACCAAGAGGAGTTTAAAATGAGATGCAGCATCCTCACATTCCCTCTCCTTTGTCATCCTCTTCCCATCCCACCCCCCAAACGCCAATAAAACAAGTTCTTCCTAAAGGCTTCACTACCAACCACTATCAGGTGTCAGAGATGGCCAAAAATGATAACATGGGGATATACAAACTCTTAACAAATCTTACATAAGTCTTTGTCATAATCCTTTTGTATAATTCTTGGCTTTCTTCTAAACTAGAATCCAAAAGTTCCCTTTGACTAATTCTCTGCTTTAATCATTATGGATATAGCTCATCAAATCTTCTCAGTAGGCTTGAAATACATTAACAAATGCCAAGAAGAGTCCATTCTGATGTACACTAGCTGCAAGTTATTGACTGGGAAACCTCAGACTGCTTTACACAGAAAGTGTCCCCTTTGGCACTTAACTGCCTTAAGGCACTAAAAGTCTCAAATTGTTAAATATTTACTATTTAAGGTATGATGCTATACTAAGATTTTTTTTATTTTTTCTTCTTACTGAAAAACTTTCTATAAAGTTAACCAAAATTAAACGGAAACCAGATTACTCCAAGTATCCAAGTATCCATATCCCAAGTATGATTAAGATTTTAATGGAATTATTATTATTATTTTATGCCTTTTATTATTTAATTTTATGTGCTTATTACTTTCAAGTTTTCAAAAAACCTTGCATAAAAATTTTATATTGTCACAAACTCACATGACATTCTGTACAAGGTTACTCATTGTAACATTGTTTGTAACAAAAGACTGAAAACAATCTACAGGGAAATAGTCAAATAAATAATAATATACCCATACAATGGAATCTATACAGCCATAAAATATATTGAAAATCAATTTCCAAGATATATTAAGTTAAAAAAGCAAGGTGCAGGGGCTGGCCCGGTGGTGCAGCGGTTAAGTGCGTGCACTCCAGATCAGCGGCCCGGGTTCGCAGGTTCAGATCCCAGGTGCACACCAACGCACCGCTTGTCAAGCTGTGCTGTTGCGGCGTCCCATATAAAGTAGAGGAAGATGCGCACAGATGTTAGCGCAGGGCCAGTCTTCCTCAGCAAAAAAGAGGAAGATTGGCATCAGATGTTAGTTCAGGGCTGATCTTCCTCACCAAAAAAAAAAAATATATATATATATATATTAAAAAAAATTTTAATAAATAAAAAGAATACTCTTTATTAAAAAAAAAAGCAAGGTGCAAAACAATGCAGGTATTTCCATTTGTGTATAGTATACTACCCATTTGTGAACAAAAAAATCTATATACCTAAATATCAGCATTTGCTTATATATGCATAAAATATCTCTGGAAGAACAGACAAGAAACTGATAACTCTGGGAAGGAAAAGTAGTGGTTGGATGGCAGTAGTGGAAGGAAGCATCCATTTTATACCTTTTGAATTTTGAACCACGTGAAGGTAAATTTCACCAAAAAAAATTAAAATGAAATAAATAAATCCATTTGATGAGCACAACAACACTGAGAAGTAGACAGGCAGATGCATTCCACCGTGTAGATGCAGAGGAGGAAAACAAGGCTTCGGGGCTGAGTGATTTGCCAAAGGTGATATAACTGTTGGATTTACACAGCACATGGGCCCAACTCCAAAGCTCCTGACTCCAGGATCAGGTCTCCACCCAACACACCAAAGTGCATCTCCTTCAAGGGGTACTTGGTACCAACCTATTTTTAAAAATAAAGCACATGATTTCTCAGAGCAGCAAGTCACTTCTGAAATCTTCCTTTAGAGGAGGATGGCCCAAGTATGGATCAGGGATGAACCCTGAATAAGAGGACCCTGCCTCAAATCCACTTTTCAAGGCTGTGCAAGAGCCCTGAAGTGGTCATGATATACAGATATACATTAATGGTATGGATGGTACACAACTCCATACATGTTTCCTTCCATCCTCAGCTACATGCTTGCCCTTTGCAAGCTGGATATATATCATTTAGGGTATCACAAAGTTACCCTCAAATCATAGATGTTCTTTCTGTGGAGTTGATCTAGTCTATAGCTGGGGAGAAGCTTAAAAAAATTTGGCAGTCCTTTCCTCATGTGAAATTTATAAACGTTATCTATTTGTACAGTATTCTGAGACTCTTCATCTATATCACTGTTCGTGCTCTGAAAGAACTTACCTCTTATTCAGGCCCATGTGAAAGGACAACACATATTTCTAGAAGCTGGGGGGTGGCTAGATGACCTCCAGGCACTATTTCCAGCTCTCCTGTCCCACAGACCGAAATTGTACCTTTTCTCTGTATTTGCCTCCAAATAGTCCTTAAAACCCATTGGAGGGTTGTGTCGAGGTTTCCAAAGAAAGGCATTTTCCTAAGAGGGCTCTCCTCCTTATAATTTTCCTCCTTTCCTCTTACAACCAAGTTTCAAACTTAGTTTTCAAACAGTAGGGCAAAACATGGGTCAAGAGATTCATTGTTTAATCTGCTAATATTTTTTCCTCACATTAGGGAATTGATTTTTTAAAAACCTGCTAAAGACACTCAATAAAGAACTTAAAAACAACCATTAAATAAATTAAATTAAATAATACTTTAAAATAAAACCTTTTCTTTTGTTTTTCAGGATAAACTCAAAGCTGGCAATGCTCTAGCATTTTTGGGTCTTGAGAGAAAACAATTTGAATGACTGAATTTACTCCAAAGGCAAACTTTCCAGAAGATATTTTATTTTTGTTTTTAAATATGTATCACACATGCTTTACTAAAATCCTGTTTTGAACTATTTTATCCAGAAATAGAATATCCCCAAATATCCTAAATTATTCATAACAAAAATAACTCACATGTGTTTTTATTCTGAAAAGCAGTACATTATTTAATGTGCAAATCAAAAAAGATTTTCCTAATGCTTTTTAAATTAATGACAGAAATAAAAAGCAAAATGTCATTAATGATTTACAAGAAGAAATCAAAACCAGATTCATCCTAGAGGGCTCAGGTAGGTTTCCACTTTGAGCAAGTATATGTGAATAGGGCCCAATAACCTGTTTTTATTCACTTGTAACAACTTCCATTAGCCCAGAACTGGGCTGGGAATGCTTTAGATTTGACAAAAGAAATGATGTACATATTTCATAACCTCTAGCAGCTCACAGTCCAATTAAGGAAGAAAGACACATGTTCTTGGAATATTACTAAGTAATTCAACATAAGTGTCACAGAAGTTTCAGTAAGAAAAATTCATCCGGACTCAAACTGTTGAGCAGATCTTCACAGAAGTTGGAACTTGGGATGAGTCTAGAAGGATGAATAAGGTTTGTTTAGAGTTGGAGAATGGGAAATAGAAAGGCAAAACTATGGGAACACAGGTTTCAGACTGAATGAAAACATCGATTCTGGAGAAAATTTCTAGTGCATAATTTATTTTTACCAGAAGCTCTTTTTTTTTTTTTTTTTTTAAATAACTAATTGGATGGAAGAAAGCCACAAGGAAAGTTTTTGAACTCTAGTTAACATTGTAGGTGTTACGTTTGGTTTATCATTTGTGAAATGCTTTCGTGATTTCGTTTGTTCCTCATGGTAGTCCTGAAGAGAGGCAGGGTAGGTGATGCTATATTTACTTGCAGTTCGGTAACAGATCTAGACCTTTTAAGATTTTATTTATTTATTTCCCCCCAAAGCCCCAGTAGATAGTTGTATGTCATAGCCGCATATCCTTCCAGTTGATGTATGTGGGATGTGGCCTCAGCATGGCTGGAGAAGCGGTGCGTCGGTGCGCGCCTGGGATCTGAACCCGGGCCGCCAGCAGCGGAGCGCGCGCACCTAACCGCTAAGCCACGGGGCCGGCCCTACCAGAAGCTCTTTTAATGTAAAATACTGAGCAGAATGTGTAAAGCTAGCTGTGGAAGTTGAACAGGGCAATATCAGGGTATCCTTGTCTTACTCACTTCATTTATGGTCATCCCACCTGGGCTGCTGAAAATGAACTTGGTCCTGGGAGGGGTGATGAACAGCTGTGGTTCATATACTGCTGGCATATATTCTAAAATCAAATATAAGTTTTCAAAATTACTCTCTTGCTTTGGATTCATTCATACTTCTTTTCCCATCCATTAGCCCAGAAAATCATGAGTTGAGTATTGGCATGTAATTTGTGCTGATCTAATTTTAGCTAAACGACACCCATCTCATTATTTTCACTTTATGTAGTTCATTACTCCATCTCTTTCTTGCTCCTCCTGTTTCTTTCTAGGACTTTACCCACCCACCATTCTTCTTCATACTCCAATCTGCCTAAAAAGAAAAACAAAGTTGAGCAAAACAACAACATGAAGCATATGTTATTATTTTTTTCTTCCCCATTATTTGGGGAAAATGTCTGTTCCTTTTCAAATGTTCTATATTTGAGGACTTTTTAACATAGTGTTTACTTAGTGTTTTATTATGAAAGGTAACCTGATCATTTTACTAAATATGCTACATAGATGATAGATAGATGATAGATAGATACATAGATAGATCGTAGATAGACAGATAATGGGCATATTCATATTCACAGAGTGTTTATGTGATGTGCCAGGGCTGAAGGACTGTTCCCGGCACTGGGGATATAGAAGTAAATAAAAAGGATAAAATTCCTTCTGTGATGAAGCCTACAATCTGGAGGGTAAAAAACAGAAATAAAGAAGGGAGGGAGGAAAGAGAAAGAAATAGAGAGGAGGGAAGGAGGAAGGAAATTTTTCTTATACTGATAAATACTATGAAGAAATTAAAACAGAGAAATGTATAGATGGTGATTAGGGGAAGAATGGGGGATAAAACAGTAAATTGTGGGGCCAGAGAAAGCCTCTTTGAAGAGGATTTTGAACTAAGACTTGAATGACAGAAGGTAATAGCCATGAAGAAGAGCCTTGTAGGTAAAGTGCAAAGGCTCTGAGGCAGGAAACAGCTCGTGGCAGAGCTTCTGAGCAAGGGAGAGAGAGGTAGAAGATGAAGATGGAAAGTTGGCCAGACCAGTAGGCCATGGTCAAGAGGTTAGATTTTTATATTAAGTTTCATAGGAAGCCATTGGAGTTTTTAAAATAGATCTGTGATATGCTCTGATTTTTTTTTAGACCACATTAGCAGCCATGTAGAGAATTATTTAAGGGGGTCCAGAATGGTAGTAGGGAGACTAGGCAAGAAATGCTGATGACTTTGGCAAGAGTAGTAGAATGCAGACAGTTGAGATGTAGTTGTGGGTAGAACCAACAGCACTTGATGATAGACTGAATGTGAGGAAGAAGGAGGAAGTGAACGAAAGAAATCAAGATTCACTCTTAAGTATCTGTGTGTGTGTGTGTCTATGTAAATGTGTGCACACTATAGTTTGTTCAATCAATCTCCTATATTTGGACAGTATATATAATTTACAATATTTTGCAATTGCAAATAATACTGCAATAAAATTAGATTCATTTCCCACATCACACATAAGGACAACTCCAACATCGATTGGATCAAAGGTTTAATTATAAGAAAATGAAACTATGCAGGCACTACAAGAAAAGATGAGTGAATTCCTCTTTAATCTGGGTTTTGATAAGGGCTTTCTAACTATGACTTTTCTAAAATCAACAAGGAAACATTGGCCTTAAATGACAAATTACACCAGATGAACTTAACAGATATATACAGAATATTCCTTCCAAAAGCAACAGAATACACATTCTTCTCAAGTGCACATGGAAGATTCTCCAGGATAGATCAAATGTTCAGCCACAAAACAAGTCTTAATAAACCTAAGAAGACTGAAATCATATCAAACATCTTTTCCAAACACAATGGTATGAAACTAGAGAACAATTAAAAGAAGAAAACTAAAAAATTCACAAATATGTGGAGATTAAACAACATGCTACTGAACAGCCAATGGGTCAAAGAAATCAAAAGAGAAATCAAAAAATACTTTGAGACAAATGAAAATTGAAATACAACATACCAAAACTTATGGGATGCAGCAAAAGCAGTTCTAAGAGGGAAGTTCATAGCGATAAATGCCTACATTAAGAAATAAGAAAAATCTCAAATAAACAACCTAACTTTATACCACAAGAAACTAGAAAAAGAAGAACAAGTGAAGCCCAAAGTTAGTAGAATGAAGGAAATAACAAATATTAGAGTGGAAATAAGTGAAATAGAAACTAAAAACACAGTAGGAAAGATCAAAGAAACTAGAAATTTTCTGTGCACATAATCCTGGGGTCATTTAGTCTCTGAGATGTAGTTTATGGTATTAAACCCATCCATACTTTAGACATAGATGCCTCGACTCCTAGTGTTTTTTTTACTGGAGCAGTTAGGTAGATTTATTACCATTTTTCATGGTGAGGAAGACCCTGGGGTAAACAGGCTTGAGAGAGAAGAGAATCAACAGTTCTGCTGTTGGGCTTGTTATATTTCAGATGCTTCTTAGACATTTAAGTAGAAATGTCCAGTAAGCAGTTGGGTATACTAGTCTGGAGAGTTCAGGAGAGAGGCTGGGGTGAGGTCATCAGTGTATAGAAGGTATTTAAAGAAATGAGACTGGATGACAAAGCCTGGAGAAAAAGTGGAGCAGAGAACCAAAGGAACCCAGGACTAATTCCTAGGATTTGCCAATACTTGGAGTCAGATGGAAGAGCCAGCATCAGGCACTGAGTAGTAGCCTGTGACATAGGAAGAAAACTAGAAAGTTGTGTTCAGAAGTCAAGGGAAGACAATGTTTAAGAAGTCCTAACAGCTTTAGGCATTAAAAAAAAAAAATCAAAGCTATAATACTATCATAGTTTACAGAATCATATGTTCCAAATGTAACTCAAACCATTTATACCACAAGTTAGTTCTACTTCCTATAGTCCCACCTTTGATTAATGGCATCACCCAGTCACCTAAAGTCTCTACTTCACCCGTATCAAATCTGTCATAAATCCAATAGATTCTACCACTTTTATACCTTTCATTTCTCATCTCGTCTTTCTTCCCCATGGCTCCCAATTAAATTCAGGTCCTCATCTCTCACCAGGACTATTGAAATAATCTCTTCTTTAGACCTCTGTCTCTGGGCTTAGCCTGATACAATCCATCTTCCGCCCTGTCGCCAGAGAAAAATTTCCAAAGCACATATCTGATCACATTACTCTCTCTCTCTCTCAAAATTCCTCGGGACATAAAGTGGTGGTTTCTAGGCTTTGGAATATTATTGATCAGTACCTCCTCCCTTTAAAAATTGTACTGATACCTCTAGTAGAGCATACTTCTCCATTTGAATTGCAATGGCTATCTTCCAACTAGACTGGGACTTCCCTGAGAGCAGGAACTATGCCTTCATTCACTCATTCACTCATATGCATTCAACAATATTTATTGAGGGCCTATTATGTACCAAGAACCATGCTAGGTGCTTAGATAATGTAAGTAAAAACAAACATGGTTCCTGCCCTCAATTGGGCTTATAATCTAATTATAAAATAATTAGGGAGACAGGTATCAAATAAGCAACAAATCAATATAAAATTGCTACAAGGACAAGAGCTATGAAGAAGCACCGTGTGTAGAGAGCTTATAATAAGGGATTTGGCCTAGTCAGAGTTGGGGAGAGACTTTGCAGAAGTGTTGCTTGAGCTAGGATCTGAAAGAGCAGACAAGAGCTAAAAGGTAAAAAGGAGAGGGAACAGTATTCGACACAGAGAGAACAGCATAAACAAAAGCATTATGGCAGGAAAGAACACAGAAAGAAATAAGACCACTAGCGCTAGAGGTAAGAAAGGAAGATGTTCTCAGAAGAAAGTGGCAAGATCATGTGGGGTCATAGTTCAGTTGAGGAATTTTTGTCTATCAAAAAGCGATGAGGTTTTTAAATAGGGGATGCATAACTAGACTTGAATTTTGAAAAGACCCTTTGTCCCTAAAACAACATTGCTCACACCCAGAATCTCAAAAATCTCTCAAGAAAATCACTTTTTCAGCCTTTTCTCTCCTTTGTTATCTAGTATTAGTACATTCACGCATTGCTTAACAACAGGGATATGTTCTGATAAATTTGTCCTTAGGAAAACTCGTCACTGTACAATTATCATAGAGTGTACTTAAACAAACCTGATGGTATAGTCTACTACACACCTAGGCTATATGATACTAATTTTACGGGACCACTGTCGGACATAGTCTGTCGTTGACCAAAACGTCATTGTGTGGCACAAGACTGCACTTGTTCAAAATATACCCCAGAAAAAAAAAAAAATCCCATCACCATCAGATTCCAAAGGACAACCATTCACAACCATCCAAGCATTTCTCTTCCTTGTACAGTACCCTTCCCCACATTTTTGATCTCTCCTAAAAAGGAAGCCAGCTCTGATTCAACTCAATTTATATTACCCAACCAGAAAACTTAAACCTATGTTCAAGGTAATTACTTAAGATTAACTTAATTAAAATAAATACCCACTTATTTTGTTTAACTTAAAGAGACTATTCTGAGGCTTTTTCCCAATCAAAATTGAACAAAAGTGAATGGAAGTTGCCATTTCTACACAACACTGCTCACAACCTAATAAAAAATTTAAAGTTTATTTTTGAAAAGTCAATACATGAACACGTTAGAAGAGTTCAAAAAGATCAAATTCAACCTATGTCTCCCAGAAGGAACTAATTTTATCTGGTTTCTTTGTGTGTATTCTTGCAAAGATAGTCTATGATTATAAAAGTATTCAAATGTACATATTCCTTTGTTCATTTTACCCAAACAGTAGCATCGTGTTTTTTTTTCCTACTTAATACCTTAGTGGTCATTCCACATATAAGCTGCTGCCTTCTTTTTGTAACAGTCTATTTTAAGTTGATAACTTAAATATGGACACACTCTAAAGCTCTACATTTTACTCCCTCCTCCCTCACCACATTTTATGTTTTGGATGTCACAATTTACTTCTTTTTATCTTGTGTATCCATCAACAAATTATTGTAGTCATAGTTATTTTTACTACTCTTGTCTTCTAATCTTCATACTAGCTTTATAAGTGGTTAACCCACCACCTTTACAACATTAGATTATTCTGATTTTTACTACATATTTACTCTTACCAGTGAGATTTATACTTTTACATGTTTCCCTTTTACTAACTAGTGCCCTTTCATTTCAGCTTAAATAATTTCTTTTAATATTTCTTGTAAGGCTGGTCTAGTGGTGATGAACTCCTTTAGCTTTTATTTGTCTGGAACATTCTTTCTTTCTCCAATTTATGAAGGACAACTTTTTCAGATAGACTATTCTTGGTTGGCAGTTTTTTTCTTTCAGCACTTTGATGCCTTCTTGTTTTTAATAGCTGAATAATATTTCATCACATAGACATACCATAATCATCCAATCCTCAATTCATGGACAGTCATGCTTCCAATCTTTTGCAATTATAAATTGCTACTGAGAATATCCTTATGACCTATGATGTGGACCATCTTTTCACATGCTTATTTGCCAACTGTATGTCTTCTTTGTGAGATGTCTGTTCAAATCTTTTGCCTATTTTTAAATTGTATTCTTTGTTTTCTTCTTATTGAGTTTTAAGAGTTCTCTGCATATTTTGGATACAAGTCTTTTATCAGATATGTGTTTTGCAAAGATTTTCTTCTCGTATTTTCACTCTCTTAACAGTGTCTTTTGCAGAGCAGAGGTCTTTAATTTTTGCTTATGAAGTCCAACTTAATTTTTTCTTTCATAGATCATGCTGTTGCTGTTCTACCTAAAAACCCATTGCCAGACACAAGGTCACCTAGATTTTCTCCTATGTTATCTTCTAGAAGTTCTATAGTTTTGCATTTTACATTTAGGGCTATGATCCATTCACAGTTAATTTTTGTGAAAAGTGTAAGGTCTGTGTCTAGATTGTTTTTTGATTTTTTTTTTGCATATGGGTGTCCAGTTGTTGTAGTACCATTAGTTGAAAAACTATCCTTTCTCAATTCAATTGCCTCTGCGCCTTTGTCAAAGATCAGTTGACTATATTTGTGCGGGTCTATTTCTGAGATCTCTATTCTGTCCCATTGATCTATTGTGTCTCTTCATTTGCCAATATATGCTGTCGTTGCCAACACATACTGTAGCTTTGAGGTTAGGTAGTGTCAGTCTAATTTCTTTGGTACCGTGTTGGCTATCTTGGGTCTTTTGCCTTTCCGTATAAACTTTAGACTCAATTTGTTAATATCTATAAAACAACTTGCTAAAATTTTGATAGGGATTGCATTGAATCTGTAGATCAAATTGGGAAGAACTGAGATCGAACCATATTGTTTTCTGATCCATGAACCCAAAATATCCTTCCATTTATATCTTCTTTGATTTCCTTAAACAGTTTCGTAGTTTTCTACATATAGATCCCGTATATATTTTAGATTCATACCTAAGTATTACTTTTTGTAAACGGTATTGTGTTAATTTCAATTGTACATTACTGATATATAGGAAAACAATTGACTCGTATATTAATCTTATGTCTTACAATCCTGCTATAATCACGTATTAGTTTTGGTTTTTTAATACTTGGAGATTTTCTACATAAACAATTCTCATCTGTGAACAAAGTTAGTTTTATTTCTTCCATCCCTGTTTACTTTTTGTTTCCTTTTCTTACTGCATTAGCAAGGAATTCCAGTACAATATTGAAAAGAATGGCGAGAAGGGACATCCTTGCCTTAGCAGGAAGGCTTCTAGTTTCTCACCATTAAGTATGATGCTAGCTGTAGGGTTTTTATAAATGTTCTTTATCAAGTAGAGGAAGTTCCTCTGTATTACTAATTTGCTTCAAGTTTTTATTATGACAGTGTTGGAGGTAGACACTTTATAAACGTTGCTTTAAATCAATCTATCCTGGAACTTCCAAGCAGCATAAGATGTGAGGCAAGCAAGGTAGGTAAGAAACGAAGTTTAGACAATTGTTCATAACTGCCTACTGCAACAAAATCAATAGCTCAGTACTGTAGTGTAATGGGGACAGGCAGAGCCCCTAAACGATGACAAAAGCCTGGAGCTTTAATCAGGAACTCACTTAAAAGTAGTATCTGTTGCGTTTTTTTTTTAAAAAAAGTATGTCTGCCTACACTCTGTAGTCTTTGGCAAATAGTTAAAATTTAAAACTTAGTCGGCTCAGACCCAGAGACTGACTCCCAGAGTGGAGCTCTGCGGTATTTTCTTGCAGGGACGGGAGAAGGGGTTAATCAACAAGTGTGTGCGCAGTTACTGTATTAAATACTAAAGATAAATTTTTTACTCAGTTCCTCTTTACTATCTGCTTCTCCTTAACCTTCTCTTTTAAATCATAGCCTGGTTTAAAAACACACTACCGATAAGGACTAGAAATTCAGTTCTAGCTACTAATTGGGTAAGTAACCTTAACCTCTGGCAAGTAACCTTAACAAATAAACCCACGGTCTGCGCAGTTGTGGGATTCAAACATGATAACGTAGGAAAAAAGCACTTAAGTGCGGCACAAACATGGAACGTTCCTATGCACTCTTTCCCAGGAAGGTCCTTCCCAGAGCTGCCCGTTGCGCGGAGGCTGTTCGTCAAGAACACGGGAGCCGAAAACCACGACACTGCGCGGCGGACCAAGAGCAGGGTAAAATGGAAGCTGTGGTGTGAGACAAAACAGGAAGGATTTTCTCTTTTTAAAGGGCCGCCAGACTCCCAGCCCAAGAACTCGCCCGGATTTCAGAGCCCACGCCCAACCCACGGCGCAGCCGCGTGCCCCGCTCTCGCGGGACCCGATCCCAGGCCAGCCTCTTCCCTCCTCTCCTCCCCGCCCCTTCGCCCCGCCAATCCTAGGTCCGGCATGCACCGCGCCGACCTTTTCCTTCCGAGACGACCCCCACCTTCGGCGCCTCCAAATGACAAACTGCGCGGGGCATTGTGGTCCCGTGCGCGAGAGCGAGGCAGGGGTCCGGAAAAAGAAAGCAAAAGACTAGGGCGAGCCGGGAGGGCGTTCCCCCGCGCATGCGCACGGGCGGCGGCGGGGGTGAAAAGGGGCGGTGCGTCGTCTACGGCGAGTGGAGTGGGGCGGGGTCGTGCGGCCTTGGCGGGGAGTCCGCGAGCCGGGAGGGGAGGGGGGAGGGTGAGGGAGCGGGCGGAGGAGGAAGTGTCATGGCGTCGGGCCGTGGAGCTTCTTCTCGCTGGTTCTTTACTCGGGAACAGCTGGAGAACACGCCGAGCCGCCGCTGCGGAGTAGAGGCGGATAAAGAGCTCTCGTACCGCCAGCAGGCGGCCAACCTCATCCAGGACATGGGACAGCGTCTCAATGTGTATCCTTTCCTATTCTTGGCCCTCCTCCGCTCACGCCCTGTCCTCTTCACTACTCGCCCGGTCGCCGGGCCTGGTGCCCCGTGAACATGGCGCCGCCACCTCGGCCTTCCTGGGCTTTGGCCACGCCGTAAGGGAAGGCAGGCTCGGGCTCGGGAGGCCGCGAGCGGCCAGCGGAGGAGGGGAGGAGGAGAGGCGTCCGGGAATGCGGGCTGGGAGGCTGCGTTGTGTAATCTGTTTGGGGCCGCGCGTGGTGGCGGCGGGGGTTGGGAGTGCCGCCCAGGCGAGAGGGGGAATCTTAGGGATTATCGCAGAAGAGAGTCGGCTGCTTCGACTTCCCCTCGTCCGAGAAGGGGTTGAGAGGTAGGAGGGTTCGCGGTGCTGAAAGGCGTTAAGTGTTCTCCGCAGCCTTTCCCCGCGCTGCTCGCGGGTTTGATGGCGGTTCTCTTGTACCTTGAGAGCGCCCTGGACGGAGGGCTTTTATGTTCTTGGCGTGGTTTTGTATGGGTGTGCGCGCGCGCGTTGCAACTGTGTGATGTTGAGTTGAGTCAGTCGTAGCCATTGATAAATCCTTCCTGGGCTCGCTTAATAGCAATATTAGAGTGGAATGCTCAGCAGTTACTATTATTACTGTTTGTTTGGCGTCGAGCCTTCTCTCTCCCTCCGCACCCTCCATCACAGCCCTGCGGGTTTTCGGGGTTTGTTTTTGTTTTGTTTTGTTAACAGTTTTTGGTTTGGGTTTGAGTTGGAAGCATTGAAAAAAAACTGTAGCTTGGGAGTTTTCCATCAAAATTATTTTGGAAATGAGGTCTTGTTCTTCTCAGATATTTCCTAAATGATACGTTCCAGCTCTCAGCTTACAATAAACACTGCGATTGTTTATATGCACAGATTTTATATGCACCATTCTTTCACCAAATTCAATAGAAATGTGAGTATTATTTTATTGTCTGTTTTTACTACCACAAAATCTTAAGGTAAATCGATACGCAGAAAGAAGTTAGTTGATCATTGATTTTATTGTTGGATTTAGTGTTGTAAGTTAACAGTGAAGGTAATACGCATGATAAATTTTTTGATTCAGATGCGGGGTTGTTGGTTGGTTGGTTTATTAATTTGTGATGACAGGCTGCTAGGCGCTATGTTAGGCTCTGCCAGGTCTTTTGAGCTAAAAGATAAAAGAAACGTTTCTCTACTCGGAATTATTACATCGGTGTTGATTTAAGTTTTTCATTTAAATTAATCAAACTTTTGAATAATTTCAAACTAATGTACAGTGTAATTTAGGCAAGCCTAGTCATTCTGTTGTGTATCTTAATCTTATTCGACTTAAATTGTTTCAAATATTGTGAATTGGGCTTAATTTAATTGCAGTATTCTTTTGAAATGACCCTTTGAAAGAGTTGAATGTTCAGCAGAAATATTTCATTTGCTAACACAATTTCTTAAGATATCAGACGTTCCTGTTGATCACACTTCAGCATTAATGGTCTACTTAAATTTTTGGTGATTCAAATGTCAAATCTTGCCTCAAACATGCTATGTCAGAGTTTGTGTATGTATATATAGTTTTGAAGTAAAACTTACCCTCGAATACTAAGGTACTGATTTTGAACATAACCTGTAAATGTTGACATATTGAGTAGCAACGTTAGTTGAAATTTTTATTTTAAGTTACGAAAGATGTAACTTTGTTCTTTTCAGAGTAACATGCTGTAACATACTGTCCTGCATCTGTTAACAAAGAAAATTGTGTATTTAGAAATATTTAACCCCATCTTAATTCTCATTATATTTTTGGCTCTTTTTATCACAGCTATTTTTAGAATGCAATTCTGAAAGGTGCGTGTAGAAAAACAGACTGTGTAAGACTATGCTATTTGTGGATTGTCATTAGGACCTTTTTGCTAAGAAAACAGTCTTTGAGAAAGTCCTTGAAATATTTTCTTGGATTGGACAGAAAAGCTTCATGGTTTAGATTGATTCCTATTTTAATCTTTTCTGATCATAATTCTGATTTAGTTTATCAGATTAGCATGTAAGTTTGTCTTGAACAATATGTATTTTTGTATACGTTTTGGTCTCTTGCGATCTCCGTTCCTTCTACTCTTTCCCTTTTAAATCTGTGTGGTTTTTGCTTTATTTCCATTTTCCTAGTTATTTCTTGTGCACAGAACTTAGGTCAATGATAGTGTTATGGAAGAGAGAGGAAGCCTTTTTGGTAATAACATTTAGATTGAAGGAATGAAATTTAAATTGTCTCCAAAGGAAGTAGTGAACTAATGGATACTAATATAAATGTGGCTTTCCCTAAGCAGCCCTTGAAAATGTTGGTCAAATCACAGGTCAGAATAGTTCTGGAAATTCTTGATGTGGGTACAGATGTCCCATTTACAGATGTCCCTGTAGAAAAGTAAGAATCAGGCTTACTTTTCTACTTCTGGTAAATGATCTCACCACAAAACTTCATTTTTGTTTTTGAACCCTCCCTCTTTCATAATTTGTCTCTATGGCCTGGTTGGTGTACTTTAAAACAAATTATCTTATTTTCAGCTAAAATTCACAGTTTTAACTTTAAATTGACTGGTGAAGCCCAGATTGCTTGGATTCTAACTTTCACTATTTTATTTAAATGCCATCATTCAATAAAAAAACCAGAATATTAATTTTTAATACCCTACTTAGTGTCTTATGTGTGTATGAAGGTCAACTTCACCATTTTACATTGAGTCATTATTAGGATAATTGAAATCTGCTGTTAATTTCTACTTTGAAAAGGAACCTTGTACCCTTCATATCTAACCTTTGTCTTCTTTACCTTTGCTACTGTATCAAAAGTGGTTTTAATATTTGTGTTGATGCACTTGCATCAATTGCACAGCCTCACTCTTTTATCTTTTTTTTTTTCTCCCTATTCTTTCAGGGTGAAGGGGGTGGTCTCAAATTGAATGTGAGTCACTTTTAAATTCATATTCCCCCACATCGTTGGGAAAATTTTTCTCGTAGGGTTATAATGGAATGTCATAGTAAGCTTACAAAAAGCATGGGTCTTCACCGTAAAGTAACTGAACACCGTTCGGTAAATTAAAGCCTAACAAGCTTAAATTTTAAGATGCTAGTGACAAACTGTATCTAGTTTTATAATAAATATCATGCATTATATTAAAATTTTTTTAATGTTTCTGTGGCTTCATTTTATTTCTCACATTGACAAATTTAAAAGTAAAAAATCCCCTGAAAGTAAAGTGCTATTGTGTTTGAGAATAAAATCAGTGTCAACATGGGTTGGTGACCCAGAAACTGTCTTTTATCATTGGGTTCTATTGTCAATTTCTCTTAGAGGGTTGGATCACTATCAGCAGTAAATGACTTGTAGATGTAACCTAATTAGATCAGTCTACCCTTTGCTCACTGGGTGCAGTGAGGTTTGTGTAATTGGGATTAGTAATTAACGAATGGCTTTGCTGGATCAAGCTCAGGATAAATCTAGTAAAGTGTAAAAGCTCTGGAACCAACAGTGCCTCCAAGGTATACACTGGGAGAGCATCTTCCCCAATGTCAATCTTAGAATAGATATTGACTCAGCTTCTCTGTGTTCATTAATTTGGTTAGTCAAGTTTTTGATACATTTGTTTCTTATATTCCAAGTCTAATGAGTTCCCTTAAAATCAGGTTGTAAAGAGCACACTCTTTTCTGAGTATTTGTTGGTCATGGTGTATTCTCATAGCATCTCTCTAATTCATGTGGTCATTTTAATCTTTACTTTCCTTAGTTCCATTGCCGCTTTTTTGAGCTGCAGCAGTGGGAACTGTTTATAATATGCCAGATTTAAATGTATTATAGTTCTGATTTAAATGTAGTTCTGTTTAAGGTTCCAAGAGTACACGTTTAGTTAAGGACCAGTTTCAGGACTAATGATTTTAAGAAATGACTATAATGACTTCTAAGAATGCATCATCCATGTCTTATCTGAGTCTAATTTTATACGTTTAAGTTAGATTGGTCAACTGCTACACACGAGCAAACTTGTATTTGCTTGTGCTAAATTTTGATTACCACTTTTTGCTTACAGTCCCAATTAACTTGTAGATGTCATTTGAAAATTTGAGGATGTTCTTTTTGCATTCCTTTCTCCCCTTGTAAAGACTTAAATGATTAGAGGAAGGACATTCTTTCTCTATCTAGAGAAGTACCCACAATCTGTTCTTTGTCTGATAATATAGCACTCTCCCATTATAATTTTTAATAATAATCCTTGCCATAGAAATTTATTCAGGACTTCTTTTAGATTTTATCCACTAACTGTGCTTATTTATGCTCAAATTACTCATAAAACTGTCATACATGATTGTCTTTTATGAAAGAAAATCAATATTTTTGGGCAATTGGTTAGCACTCCACCCCCAAAAAAACACATTTAAACTAGAAGGTAAGCACTGTAAAGGTGGGGGGGGGGGTGTTTATTTCCTTTATTTCTTTTGGCTTTATGCCCTGTTGTATCATTAGTACCTCACATAGAGTAGCAACTATTTGTCAATAGAATGGATCAAATCTTGTTGCTCACAGGTCTGTTGAGTGAATCCTTATCCGTTTTCCTCTATATACATCCTCCTCATATAGACACACTTAAAATGTTTTATTATTAAAAACTAATATAGGAATATGGAAAATGAAAACAATAGAAAAAGGGATATGATAAGCCTCCCTTGATCCAAGTGTCTAAGCCCCCTGCCCTACGGCATTTGCTGTTAACAGGTTTTGTGTACTCTTTCAGAAATATTTTTTTGCTTGTGCAAAAATATATATGTATATATCTTTTTCAGCACAGAAAAGGCTCCCTCCCCTCCCCCCAGTTCTTGGGTCTAGCACATAGCAGCAATGGGAGAACATACAGAATTGGACTGCTCCTAGTTGGGGTTAAGTGTGGCTGTTTCTGGGGAAGTAATTTTTAAAATGGCACCGGAAGGGATGATATAGATTGACCCAGTGGTTCTCAATGGGCGGCAGTTTTGCCCATCATGGGACATTTGGCAATGTCTAGACGTATTTTTGGTTGTCATATCTTGGGGAAGGGGTGCTACTGGCATCTAGTGGTTAGAAGCCAGGGATGCTGCTACAGTGCACAGGACAGCCGCCCCCCCCCCCCCGCCAATAACAAAAAGTTACCTGGTCCAAAATGTACTTAGTGTTGAGGTTGAGAAAACACCTAGGTTAACCTAAAGAGTTGAGGGAAGGAGACTAAAGCTATGTTATCTTCAATAGATTAATTTTGAGTGGTGAATTTCATCTGTTTTAGTAAAAAAAAGTCTATTCATCTGAAATTCCTCAGGACCTTAAGAACAAAGGTCACATTTGTAATCTTTTTCTAATTGAGGGCTTTAGGGAAACTGTTTTTGATTGGAGAATTCAATCCATTTACATTTAGAGTGATTATTGATATATGAGGACTTAATGCTGCCATTTTATCACTGGTTTTCCGGTTGTTCTGTATTTCCCTTGTTTCTCGTCCCTTATATTTCGGACTACCAATTCAGTGGTAGTTCTCTGTGATAGTTTTCTCAATTTTCTCTTTATTTGTCATTTGTGTCTCTGTTCTGATTATTTGTTTAGTGGCTACCATGAGGTTTGTATAAAAAATCTCATAGGTGAGATAGTCCATTTTCTGATAGCCTCTTATTTCCTTAGTCTAAGCTGATTCCATCCCTTATCTCATCCCCTCCTAAGTTATTGTTCTCACAACTTATTCCATCTTGTGTTGTGAGTTTGTGGTTAAAATGATGAGATTATATTTATTTTTGATATTGTCCTTCCTTTTATCTTTTTCTTTTTTCTTTTTTTTTGGTGAGAACAGTTGGCTCTGAGCTAACATCTGTTGCCAATCCTCCTCTTTTTGCTGAGGAAGATTAGCCCTTAGTTAACATCCGTGCCCA